CCCATGTAATTTTATCTCAATGTAGGAAGTATGACTCCAGGTTTTACCCTGACACCGTACCACAAACCTGCTTTTCCATACACCATGATCATGCAGGCATAAGCTACACCTGCCCACAATCCTGACACTTAGGAGGTGGAAGCATGTGGATCAGGAGGAGTTCAATATCATTCTTTGCTACATAGTATGTTCAAAGTCACTCTGGAATACACGAGATTGCCTCAAAAAGAAAGCAAAAGGTTGTATTTATTCACATTTTTAATATCTAAAACAATCTATTTCCAACAGCTTCAATAATGCGCCAAGTGATAAAACAAAAAAAATTAAAGTTAAATTTAAAAAATTATAAGCAAATATATTAATTTTGACAAAAATATTAAAGACATCAGCTTTACTACTATTTTAAGTTAAAGACATGTTTAAAAATCTTTATATGCATAAGGAAAAAGAGATGAAGGGGCTGGAAAGATGGCTCAGGGACTAAGCATGCCTAATGCTCTTGCAGATCCCCCAGTTTTGGTTCCCAGCACCCACATGGTGGTTCACAACCTTCTGAAATTTGTTGTAGGAATATAATGCCTTTTCTAACTCCCATGGACTCCTGCAAGTAAATAGTGTACATACATATACCCAAACACAAAAAAAGTTAAGTATTTTTTATATAAAAAAGTCCTTGGACTACTAATTCTAAAAGATCAAAGCTAATTTATTAAATTATTATAAATTTGTTTCTGAGACAGTCTCATAGCCTATGGTGACCTCAAACTCACTATGTTACTGAGGATGGCCTTATACTCCTAATTCTCTGTATCTGCCTACTTATGTGATATACTTCGATCATAGGCTGGGATTATAGTGTATAGGCTGAGGTGACAGACATTGACCACACCTCCGTCTTAAATTATCTAAACTTAAACCCACTCCCAATGAAGACTCAGTTGTTCAGATCTTATCTGCAATCCTTTGAGAGCCTTGCAAAGCACTGTCCATAATCTTTAAACTTAAGAGGCATTTTACTTTCAGAGTTTAAATCTCAGATTTCTTGAAGATATTTATATAGAACAGAAATTGTATAACTGATTGTTTTTTAGTGCATTAGAACAGAATAAAAACATCTGGTTCTTTGATTAAATACACTAAGTTCTAGACTATTTTTTGAGACAATTTAGTTTTATTTCTATAGTTTTTGTTTGTTTTGTTTCTTTTTTAAGACAGGGTCTTAGTATGAAGCCTTGGTTGGCCTGGAACATGCCATGTAGATCATATTGGCCTCTAACTCAGAGACCCACCTGACTCTGCACCCAGAGTTCTGAGATTAAAGGCATGTACCACCATGCTTGGCTACTCCTATTTTAATTAATTCTACTAATTGTATGTATTTTGTCAAAGCAAAATACATATTTTATCATACTGGGAACTGAGATGCATTTGCATAAATTAACAGGAAGCAATTTCACTAAGTGGCTTATAAAATGACAAGTCTTTGGCTAGGTGGTAAACACTGGATATAGAGGGAAAAGATACTAGGAAGTTCATGGTAAAAATGAAAACACTTGTGGTTTGAGTCATGCAGGAGACTAAGATGGTCTGAGAATTTAAAGATTCTAATGGGCTGGCAAAGATTACTGAAAGGTTTCAAGAGCTTGAAAGAAATTTCAGTAAATATAAAACACAACCTGCAAAATATCTGGGGGTGGAGGGAGGCTGGAGATCAAGAACATGAGGCCTTGCTATTGCCCAAGCTGGTCTTGAATCTGTAGTTCTCCTGCCTCATCCAGGGTCCTGGGACTACAGACTCATACTTATCTGACTTAAGCCACATTCCTTCAATATGAATGTATAAGAAGTACACATGGACTTTTAACTACTCTCCTTGATATCATAAAATTTTGATTTTGAGACACATCTTTTGACTCATAATGATGAGTTCAGCATGGTGGAAACATAGAACCTAATTAGCCAAAATCAACCACAGTTTTATATTACATATGAATATTCTTAGATGAGGCAAATACCATTTGCTTGTTGCCTAAAAAGGTAGCTTTTCCTTTGTGTTATTCATATTCTTAGTTTTCCTTTCATGTGATTCACCCAAAGTCTAGTTTTTAAAATAGGAGATAAAAAAAGTCATTAAACACCGCCATCTTCATTACTTGACAAAACATCTGAATTCTGAACCTTTTCATATGCAAGTGTAACCATTTGAATGAACACCATATTTTACTCATAATAAAAATTTCATCATACTCCTTTAATCAGGACAGTAAGAAATATTTGGTAAAGTTCAAAAGGACACATCCTCTTGATAGTGAAGTGGCAGAATTCTGCAAGAGTATATGAGACTTAAAATATTGTTGGGCTCATTTTTGGAAAATAAATCTTACCATTGATTTCTTCTGTAAAATATGAAAAAGATTAAATAGGAAATTATTGTGATCCCTTGATCACAGGCACTTCCTTCCTTCCTTCCTGTTTCTCAAGACAGGGTTTCTCTGTGTAGCCTTGGCTGTCCTGGAATTCTCTATATAGACCAGGCTGGCATGGAATTCAGAGATCCACCCACCTGCCCCCCCACCCCACTGCTTGTATTAAAGGTATGTGCCACCAGCACCTAGCACAGGCATCTTTTTAGGTAACTTTATTCTTCAGACTTTTGGGAATTAAGGATCTGAATTTGGATTTTCTTAAAACTATCATGTCTACCTGACTCTTGGAAAGTTATTACCCCAAAAGAATTTATACTCTTATTTGAAGACAATGCTATACTGGCTATACTTGTTTAAACCCCTGTTTCTGAAATGTCAAGATACCTATACATTTTTCTAAAAAAATTATTCACTTGTTTTTTCGAAACAGGGTTCTCACTGTGTAGCTCTGGCTGTCCTGGTCTTCACTACAGACCAACCATGCTGGCCTCAAATTTAGAGAGCCACCAGACGGGCTGGCACTAAAGGCATAGGCCACTATGCCAGCTCAAAAACTCTACTTAAAAACAGCTGGGTGTGGTGGTACACTCCTCCGATCCCAGCACTCAGAAGGCAAAGACAAACAGATCTCTCTGAGTTCAAGGCTGGCCCGATCTACACAATTAGACACAAGCCAGAATTACATAGCCAGACTCGATTTCAATACAAAAACAAAGTAAAACTCCATCAAAACCCCAATTCTGAATACGTGACTAATAGTGTATGCACTTTTGCTGAAGCCAAAGTTTTCTACTTAAAAAGCCAGAAAAGTTCAATAGACCTCTGGAAGTAGATGTTGGTAAAGAAGCTTAAAAAACAAAACAAAACAAAACAAAAAAAAAAATCAAAAATTCATTTAAAGTCCAGCAGAAACAGAAAATGTGAATTCTTTAAGTTGTATTTGAAAGCCTTCCAAATATGGTACAAACACAATATACAAAATCTTTATAACTTCCATTATTTTTTGTCAGGTCCTGGTAATTGCTGAGGCTGGCCTCAACCTTACAATCAAATCAGCCCAGCCTCTGAAGCAGCTGGGATTACAACCAATGAAATTGTGTCTGGCTCTATTTTTCATCTTTGCCAACAACATACTTTCTAAGAGACTGTTTAGTAATTGTTTTCAAATGTTATTTATTTATGAGGTTCAATAAGCATTTTACAAAATGCTTTCTTTCATTTTCATGAAACATGACACATGAAAAAACCCATGACGTTGAAAATGGATGTTTTTTTTTTCTAATAACCATAGAACATTATTGTAGTAATCCTTATACATATGGGACTACCCAGAACAATAGTTATAACCAAAATATATATTAAACATTTACATAGTACCTATTATTTTGCAGGCACTGTTCTAAAAACTCAGAATACAGGGGTAAGTAAATATAAATACTATGAATTTCCTCATTTTACATGATAAAACTGGAGCATCTTGCCAAAAACTCAGAAAAATTTCAAAGTTCCAATGGAAGTTTTATTTACATAAAATATTTTATTTTATTGCCCTTTTAAGACCTTATCAATGAATATGTATGGTTCAACTAGGTGGAATGGACATTTCATTTTTCTCCTGGAGAATTTTTCAACATTTTTCAACAGACTACACTGTTGGGACTTGATTTTAAATAACTGGGGTATATTCTCCTACACTTTATCCCCCTTCCCTTCTACTCCAGGAAGGCAAAATAAGCTAAATTTCAGAGAATTCTCCCTCAGATTAGAAATGTGTCCATGAGTCAAGGTAATTAACCCTTACTGTCTAAGTCACAGTTAACTAGCATCATATGTCTTTGCCTTGGAAGTGATTTGAGATTATTGCTAGCCATTTGTATGGATTTGATGGGTCTCCCCACTTTCTAATCACGGGGAAGTAATTACATCATCAAGATATTTAACTATCAGTGGATTAATACTTAATGATTTACATGATGGTATTATTGGGAGGTAGAAGGAAAAAGTGCCCTGGAAAGGTTTCTCTTGTCCCTAGTCCCTTCATACTTTCTGCTGCTTGGCTGCCAAGGGTGAGCAGAGTCTGCCATATATCACCTCAAGACCAAATTAATGAACTTAGCTGACCTTCCACTGAAACCTTAGAACCTATGAACCAAAATTCCTTCCATGTTTTGTCTGGCACTTTATCACAATCAAAACAGAAATCAAAACAACATCTTTTACTTCAAGAGAAAATAAATCTACAATCCTCAGAATATGGAGAATCTTGGGTAGGACACTGACTTGCACATATATGATTTATTCTTAACTTTCCTGGTTAAAGTTGTACATTATGTTGATTAATTTGAAGTTTCAATATTTAAAAAAAACTAGATAAAATGAGTGTAGAATAATTTTCTATTAATATATAGAACTGTCTATGTCTAGAACAGCATATCTATTTTACTAAAAAAATAGTTTATAAAGCATTATTTTAGCAATTTTACAAAAGTCACAATTTAACTGTGAAGACAAAAATGGTTTATTTTAAATCTCTGGAAAAAAAACCAACCCAAATGACTGTTATATTAGAAACGTTAAAATTGAAACTGTCGTCTTCTGAATGTTGTACACTCCCAGATACCTAAATACTGCACTTGATCCTATCATCTTCTCTAACATCAACAACACTTGACAAAGTTAGAGATATCCCAAGGGTCTGCTAATCACTTTCCAAAGTCATCATCTTTGGGTTCAACTCATTACACAAGTACAAGTTCTGTTCAAGATGTTCCTGACACATGAAGCTTCCAGTTGAATTTCAGAAAACTTAAGAAAAGTATCTTCCTTTTTTGCCTGTGAATGTTTGCGTATTGCTGTACTGTTGGCTTATATCCACTACAGATACTGGTTCTAGGCCAGCCCAAGGGTCTTCAAGCATTGAAGGCTTAAAATAACTTTCCACCTCATTAGACATTCTTTTTTCTCTACCACGCCCTGATCCAAATGGTGTAGATGTCCTTGGAGAACCCTTTAGGAAAAAAATCATCAGTTAAAAAAACATCTAACAGAGATAATTGGTACTTTCAACTCTAAATGAAGATTAGTGGGGATCACATTAAAAGTTGAAAATTGAAGCTCAATATATTCGGTTGCATATTTCTTGTTTTCTTTAAACCAGTTGGCCATTGTGGCCCATACCTTTAACCCCAGCACTTGGAGACAGAGGAAGACATGATCTATGTGAGTTTGAGGCCAGCCCTGGTCTATACAGCTAGGCAAACTGTCTCGAAGAACAAAAATAAGAATTACTGAAAACAACTGTACATTTTGCTTTTTTAAAAAAAATGCCTACTGTCTTGTGTTTCAGTGAGCAAATTAACTGTATTCAATTTTACTTGAAAACTACTTTTAACCTGATAGGTCTCAAATTTCTATAACTTTTATAATGCATGAAAATTAACTATACTTTTTTTTTTAACCCCATCTGTAAGAAATTCAGTTGGGTGAGTATACCCAAATTTGCAAAACACGGTAGATTCAAGTTGTTAGCCACAGAGCTACTTCCGCCCTCGTGTTTTCACTTTTTTCGAGAAAGGGAAATTCCCACATTCCCTGATTCTCGATTTTTCCTCCAGAAGAACTTGGAGTAGAAGTCAATATAGCTTGGGAAAAAAATTATAACGATAAAAAAAGAGAGACAGAGAGAAAGACAGCAAAGCCATGGGATGGACATCTGTGGGAAAGAAACCGCAGTGGACTATAGTCTAGAGAAGCCATACAATAGTAGGGAATCATTCATGTCCTCCCACTAGGAATCCAGGATTACTTACTGAAAATAACTGACCAAAAAAAAGAAAAAAAAAATCTGGGGGTGGGAGAGAAGAAATGGAGGATTAAGAAATACGGTATGCTCCTTAAGAGCTTAATTTCTGTGGACCAGAACTATAGCTCTGCCACTTATGGTAATCTTAAATAACTGATTTACGCTTCAGTTTACTTATCTGCAAAATTGGGTCAACGTAGTATGTCCCCTCACAGAGGACTAAACAATCCACGTAAAGGGAATTTTAGTATCACGCCTGCCATTACAGTAGGAGCTCGGCAAACGCTAGCTATTGTCTTTACCTGGGGGTAGGTCTGCTGCTGCCCTGGGGAGTAGCCGAACTGATGCTGGGACCCCGCGGGGGACCTGGAGTAGGAGCCTGGGCAGCCGCCCGGGGACGGAGACCCGAAGCGGGCCCCCGAGAAGCTGCCGCCGTGCCGCGGAGACTGGCTGCTCCCGTACGGCCTAGCCCGGGGCCCGCACGGCGGAGTGTGGTGCGGACTCCCGTACCCGTCCCGCGGGGAGGGCGGCCGCGGCCCCCCGCCCAGGGCACCCCGGAAGCTGCTTCCGCCACCCCAGCCTCCTATCCCCGGGCCGGGGTAAGGAGGAGTTGGGGGTCGAAAATTCGGTCGGTGCATATCAGGAACAGAAGCCGAAGACCTCTCTCGCCGACCCTCTCACCGGAACCCCAGACACCGACAGCCAGAAATGAGTTGGTATCGCTCCTTTATATGGCCTTCCGGCTGCTAGCAACGTACGACACTTTCGTTCCGGCTGCACAAAGGTTCCGACCTCACAAAGCTTCGGCAGGAAGGCGAGGAAATAGGTCCCTCAAATTGGAGGATGATGGTGTGTCTGAAGGGGGAAAAGACTGTAAGCGGGAAACCAAACCCTTTACCCCAGCGAGAACACTGCCACTGGAGGCCCTCCGTGGGCCGCAAGTACACGAAGGCGGAAGCGGAAGACAGAACCCGCCGTTCCGCTTTAGAGGCTGCTATGCCAGCTGCAGGGTGTGGGAGAGGGGCGTGTCGGGCGGGTCTGAGGGGGTGGGCCATCCGGCTCTGAGGCTTTGGGGAGGCGGGGCGTGAGGCCTCTGTCGGGCCAAGGGCCCGAGTTGTGGGCTCTGAATAAAGGAGAAAGTCTCGTGGGACTGGGGCGGAGGCCAGAGCCGAGGCGCAGGGTGGATGGGAGGGAGGAGTCCTAGGGGGAGGGGCAGGAGCCAGAGGGGCGGGCAGGAGCCAGGGGGCGGGGCCTATGGGGGCAGAAGCCAGAGGGGGTGGGAATGAGGGGGCGGGCAGGGGCCAGGGGGCGGGGCCGAGGGGGCAGGAGCCAGAGGGGCGGGGCCGAGGGGGCAGGAGCCAGAGGGGCGGGGCCGAGGGTCCCAGAGGCTGAGACCCGCGCCGAGACGCAGCGATGGGATCCGGTGAACCCGAGGGGGCGGGGCTGGCGGAGGGGGCGGGGCTGGCCTGGCCTAGTGGCCTAAGGTCCAGGAGGCAGGTAGCGGTGTGTTCTGTTCTCACTCTTCCGAGGGGGCGATGCTGTGGACGCTGGCCAGGGCGTTGGCTTTTCGGAGGCCCAGCAGAGGCCGGGCCGGCTGGAGGGGTCTGTGGACCGGCCGCCCGCAGTCAGGTACCCTCAGACACTAAGAGCCCAGACTCCCTGAGGAGAGCAGAGCGCTCGAGCCTCGGGAGCGCCTGTCGTGCGCCTCCACCTCCCCAGGGCAGGCGACACCACCGGGTTCCTGGCCGCGGTCGTCCTTTGCTTCTCTTCTCCTCCCTTACCTTCTAGTCCCCCAAGTTTTGGTAACTTTTAAAAAACACTACCTCCCGCCCAAAGCTTAGTTTTAGAAAGCACACTGCTGCCCTGATAACTTAGAGAGCCTCTACTAATTGATCCTGGACTTGCCCCGACCTCTGCGTTTCAGTTCTTGTGGAAGCTGACAAAGGAAAAAACGATACTTTTTAAAAAAGGAAATTTAACCTCAACTTTAAAATCTTGTAATTATAAATAAACGGGATAATTCAGGAATGCCATTTTCTGCATATGATACCTGTTTCAGATATTACTGTAGAAGATGAAATTTCAAATTACTAGTTTTAAGGAGTACCCTTTAGTCCTTCAGAATACTGAAATCAGCTCCGGGAGTTTGGGGGTTCATTAAATTTGACCAGTGTATAGTATGGACCTGTGGAGATTTTGTTTGTTTAGATTTTTTGTGTATATGAGTGTTTTGCCTGCATTTATGCACATGCATCACTTATATGCCTGATGCCTTTGGAAATCAGAAGGAACTGGAGAAAAGAAAGTGTGGTTGTGATTTGCCATGTAGGTGCTGCGAACAACCTAGGTCCTCTACAAGAGCAGTGAGTCCTCTTAACCACTGAGCCACCTCTTCAGCTCCTGTCCCCTGTGGTTTTCATTCAGCCAGTGCACCCTTACAGAGCATTTTGGCCTATGCTCAGTCTCTGACATCTTCAGTGACACGACTAAAGAGTGTCTACTCAGCTTTATTCTTCATTAATGGAGACACAAACACAGGGGTTTTTTGGGGGGAAGTGGGTAGGTGATATTTTTTTTTTTTTTAATTTTCATGGTGGTGGTTTATTCTTGGGCAATTCTGTTGGACTTTCTTGTTTTCTTCATTTTGTATTGTCTTTGGGACAAGTTCTCAATATATAACCCAGGCTTGACCACGTTTCTTTGTTCTGAAGACAAGTTGTATGGTTAGTCATGGAAGGATAATCTCACCATCAAGATAAAGTGATATGATTAAAGCCTGAAGACTACAGTTTATCTAACATTTGTGTTGTTCTATCCCGATCAAAAATTTTCTAAACATTTTGTTTAGTTTATTATCTGGCAGTTGGGCACTCATACTTACCTAATAAATAAGTCACATATATCACACATATATGTAGTGATATGCTTTATTAAAGCTTGCCTAAGAATTCAGAAAGCAAAGTCAGCCACAAGCCATAGAAGTCAGGCACAAACCTTTAATCCCAGCAGCTAGGAGGTGGTGATGCACACCTTTAATCCTAGGACTCAGGATTAAGAGGTAGATCCCCCTGAGGTAGAAGGCCACCCAGGGAGATTGAATCAGTCTAAGAGTAACAGATCACATGCCTTTAATCCCAGCACTAAAGGGGTATAAAAAAAATAGAAGCAGAGTCTTCAATATTCAGTAGGAAGCATTCATTCTCCAGCCATGCTGAAGAGAGCTCATGGATCAGCCCTTGCAGCCTGAGCTAGAGTTGAGAGCTAGTGCCTGGCTGCTTTGCTTTTCTGAACTTCAGCTTGAAGCTTGAAACCCAATATCAGTCTCTGGATCTTTTATTTTTCCTGTTACACATATATGTCAGTGATTCAATAATCTGCACCACGAAGGGAGCCAGGAAGTGGAGTGGAGTGATGATGTGTACTAAATTACATTTATTATTTATTTCTATAACTGTCAGAAGATATGCAGAATGGGGCCTCAGTTGCTCATTATTATTATTATTATTATTATTATTAGTAGTAGTAGTAGTAGTATTATTATTATTACTTGAATTCTGTTTCTAGAGTGGAATTGAGTTCAGGGGCTTGTGCATTTAAGACAAGCTGTTTACTATTGAGCTTCAGTGCATCCCCAGTTCCCAGAATGCTCTTGCATCTATCTATACAATACACTAAAATTCTGGGAGAGGAAGATATGCAATGGAAAATTTTGCCTGGCAGATTACTTAAGACAGTATGCCTACTTACCTACACACACACACACACACACACACACACACACACACACACACACACTCACCTAGAGAGATCAGAATTCAGACTTTCTGAATTCCAGATATTTTCCCCACTTAGAAATACAAATTAATAGTTGATTATTTGAGAAATATATTAAAAAATACTTTGAAGGTAGCCAGGCATGGTGACATATGACTAGTTTTGCTTTTTGTTTGTTTGTTTTTTTGGGACTGTCCTAGAACTCAGATCCACCAGCCTCTGCCTCCTGAGGGCAGGGATTGAAGGCATGAGCCCCTACCCCTCAGTGTGACATATGCCTTTAATCCTAGCATTTGAGAAGTAGAGGCAGGTGGAATCTCTGTGAGTTGGAGTCCAGCCTCATTTACATATTGAGTTTCAAGATAGTCAGAGCTACATAATAGAGACCCTGTCTAAAAGAAAAAAGAAAAGGAAAGAAAAGAAAGAAAGAAGTAGTACTGTGGAGTTTCTTTTGAATTTACAGATTATGAATATACTCTTAGCTAGTGAACCATAACTGTAGCCAGGGTATTCCTAAGCTTTAGACTGGAATTTACAGTTTGAATGGCTGAGCTGGTAAGCTCTATATTGAAATTTTCTTTGTAGTGAGTTTAGTGAAAGCATGAAGGGAAGGGAAATTTTAGTTGTGTTTCCTGGAGCTGTAAAAACTAAAGAACTATAATGGTGGCTGTGAGCATATAGTAGCTTTCTCTTGGAAGGAAAAGGAAATTACCCATTTTTGTTAGCAAACAGACATGGTTCCTGCAAAAAGAACTGCAGCACAGATAGTGTAGGGATGACCTTAGGCCCCTTAGACCACCCCTGCACCCTCTGTCCAGGCCCTTATCCCCACCCCCGTTGGGTACACCCCATCCCACCACTGCACTGTGGTGCTGACCTCCACCTCAGGACAGATTCCGGCTAGGTGTTGCCTTTAGTTAGCAATGTATACATAGATATGAACTCTCAGTTCTTGAGAACTCTGTGGTGATAGTGTTTTAGAGTACAGAAATTAAAGTAAGTAACAACAAGATGAGGAAACAGAATGAGTGGAGTCTGCTTGTTTCTATAATGTTGCAATCTTTATTTAGGTTATCTAAAGTGTGTGTGTGTGTGTGTGTGTGTGTGTGTGTGTGTGTTTACAATGAATATCAATTTCTTTTCTTTTCATCAAGCCTTATCTTTAGAACAAAAAACAAATGAAAAGAGTAACAAAAACCTGTTTGAGAGCCACATATATATGCACAATGTTTAAAACAGAGACTGAGGACCCAGAATCCTGCTCACCTTGTATCCTGCAAAGATATTCTTGGAACCATCTGAATTCCCAGATCTCAAGCAAAAATGATTCTAAACACACCCCCATTTTAGGTAAATGGCAGTAATCAGTGCTTTATGCACTGATATTTTCATTAGTTTTATGTCTGCAAGAAGTAAATATTTTTTATGTTTCTGCATTGCTAGCACTTTCTAAATGGAAACTGGGTTAAAGGACAAGCCTTGGAAGTTAAAAAATAATTGATTAGATAGTTTGGAGTATGTGTTTATACTTAAAGGGATATAAACGGAGAGGCATAGATGCATTCTCAGTACTGAAAACTCAGTGAGGCTGCTGTCCTCCTGGAAGGCTATTTATATCCCACAGGGTAGGATCTCAGGCATCAGTTCAATTTTTCCTCCCAAGGAGTATTTGCTCCTATTTATCAGAGAAAGATGGCAACTGGACTATCATCCTGAACAAACTCCTAGATTCATAATTTGGGGATCTTCTCCTGTGGTTCAACCCCTGTAATTTGGTTACCGAGAAATGAATATATGATTAGCTGTATTCATTCATTAATAGGAAGGAGTGAATCTGCTTCAAACACAATAAATCACTTAATATTTCCATTACCAAAACAAGATTTACAGGAACAATTTTTATGTCCCTTAAGATTCAAATTCCGTTGCTTTGTTAAAATTTATTCCTTTTCCATTTCTAAGCATGTATAGTGGTCAGGCACAAGAGAAATGTGGTATACATATTTATGTCTTTCCACACTAATATCCTTCACTCATGCATGATACATGAATTAATGCAGTTATACCAACAGAAGTCTTCATTGAAATTAATAAAAATACAGAAATAGTTCTTTTTAAAAAAGATTTTATTTATTTATTCAGTGTTCTGCCTGCATATATCCCTGCAGGCCAGAAGAGGGCACCAGATCTCATTTCAGGTGGTTATGAGCCACCATGTGGTTGCTGGGAGTTGAACTCAGGACCTCTGGAAGAGAAGTCAGTGTTCTTAACCAATAAACCATCTCTCCAGTCCTGGAAATAGTTCTATATGAAGAAATAGAAGAGTTGAGAGGACTAGATGTGAGTTTTAAACGAATATTGGGATTGATTGTTGAGGGTAAGAAGTTTATTAGAAAGACTATTAATACCACGAACAAATAGAAACCAACATGGCCAGGCTCTGAAGAGAGTTTAAAGACAGAAATTGGTGGGTACTCTGCAACAGAATCAGGCTCATGAGGCAGGAGTTGGGGCTTTTGTTCTCTGGTTTCCTAGCAGGAGGCAGGAGACCAGAGCATGTACATGGCCACCAATACCAACTTTAGTGAATCAGTTACCCAGGTGAGAAATCCTGGCACATGGAAGCCTATTAACTAGAGAGTCACAGTTTCTTCGTAGGGTGCCTGTCAGTATATGCAAGAGGGATGGGGCTCTTGCAGGTATTGTGGCCTGAACATCACTATGGCTAGAGTCTGACGTTAGAAGTGAGTCATGTTTTCTAGAAATAAACACTAAAAGATTACTTTAAATGAACAGATGACATTGTAATGTCACTGGAATCTGTATCTTTGTAGTTTTCCAATTATAAAACGATA